TTCCCTACATGTTCAATTTATGCCTTGACTTTCTGTTGCACCTACATAAAATTCAGGGGTGTCCAGGTCCTGTTGTGTTTGCTTTGTGTTTTGACTTCAGTTCTATACAGCACATCATTGCAAACCAGATGCTCCTTTGCACCACTGGATTTTCCTCACTGTTTAGACTAATAAAACGCTTTTATACAGCAAAATGTAATAGATGTGCACAATAATTTATCCATCTGCCTTATCCTATAAAAGAAAAACATTACTTGAATATGTTGTAAGCCATAATCAAAAGATAATATATAGCTCTGCTGCTGTTGAGCAGTACCCCCAAAAAACTCGATTGCTGTTATTTTGAATGTTTATCTACTTGTATATGTCTGAACCATTTTCAGTAAAAATATCCTATGGTATACACTCATTCAGCAGTCAGCTTAACATGATTATTTGTCAGCCAAAGTTTTTTATCACCTCAACAGAGGTCATTTGAAGATTAGCTGAAGTTCTTCGGGGCTTTATCAGCAGGTATCACAGTGGTTGCTGAAAGCTTAAGATCACCCTGTTACATTTTCAGCCGAAATAATTTAAATGCATGTGATACATCTGGAGAGAAGGTAGATGCTTACAGCTGACAGTAAGAATATTCCCATCAAAGCACACTTGGTGCCTCTTTTTATGAGGTTTAATAAGATACAGAGGGATCTACCTATTGTGTTTATTTTTGGTATGTATTTTGGGAGGAGGGTTGCCTAGTGGCACAAAAATTTTCAAAATGAGATCTTCAATTGATAATTTCATTATCTGTTTAATGCCACCTTTTATTAAAATATCATTTTATCTAATTGACTTATTATTGTTCATTCATCAGAATAAATGACAATAGCATGGCCACTGTTAACAGCTTCATGAAGGAATCCACCCTCCTGATGACTCATTTAAAAGGGAATGTAGATTTTTTGAGTACTGGGAGTGTTATCACTATTTAGCTTCGTTCCAGAGAGAACCCTCTACTTCCAAAACCTCAATGTGATTAAAAAGCACTCAAATAAAAGCCATGTATTAAGCAATTGAATCTTCTAAATTAATGTACATTTGCCTAAATGTGTTTCTTCTGCAAACACAGTAACCAATAAGATGTTATACTAATTTAAAAACTCGCGCTTTCTTACTAACATGCAGAGGTTCATGTTTTATTGCATATATTCCTTGAACTGCATTACCAATATAAATCTTTTCCATTTTTCTCAAGTGCTACTTCAAAGAATAGTGCTTGCTTTTTACTTTAGAAATATGCTCTTTTTTCACCGCCTAAGTGTTGTGCTGTTCTCCAACAGTTCGTGTGCTGTCTCTCTAGGTAATGGTGCACATTAACATCAGCGAGAGCAGCAGCGCTGCAAGAAGCAGTGATGTTTCTAAAGATAACTCCAGGCCTTTAAATTGAATTACCAATGCTGAGATGGTTCTCTTTGCCAAGCTGCTACCCCGTTGCTTGGCAGTCAACCTTCAGAAATTATTCTTCACTGCTGACCCATAACTGCAGTGAATGTTTCCTAATCTAATTTTGAAAGCCACCTGTTATGCATGCAGTATTGAAGAACGCTCTGAAAGATTTCAATTTAGTACAGCACAGTCCTTGAGAAGACATACTTTTAGGTGGAAGACATTCTGGAACAATTAATTGCATTTACATGCGTTATAATGCATTGGCACCAAGACAGAAAGAGGGAGGTGCTACGTGCGGTTTAGCAAAGACTGGGGAAGGAATTGGAAGAGGGATCTATTGCAGGTCTAAATAGACAAAACACGCTTGCTTCAGGAAATCCCCTCAACAGAAAGTAGTTGGAAGCTGGAAGGAAGTTGAGGAAAAGGGTCATAATGCTTATTAGCCTGTTCTTACTCCTTCATGGGTGCCCATTTGTGCTCATTGTTGGAAACAGGATACCAGGCAGTACAATAGCTCAGTATGAAGCAGCATGGTAGGTTTTTTGTTCTGAGATATGCAATAGTGGCTGCAGAGAACCACTCCTTCTCCCTCCCACCTACACTTACACTTATTCCCCAAAGAAATATGTGTAACCTGATATTACACAGGGCTGTTTAAGGAGTACTTTTGTTGGTGATGTTGGTACTGTTAGGCTCCTTATGGTGTGAACATATAGTTGTGAACAGTCAAAGTGAGCCCTGAAGCAGTTAGGCTAGTAGGAGCAAGCCCTCATTTATTTTCAAAAAAACCCTTTACAATTAGGAAAGCCCTCCCACTATTTTCACTGCTTTGGGAGGGATAACAAATGTTTGGAACATGTGACTCCTGATCTAGTATTCTTTTCCTTAGGTTGTGGAACTGGAAAGTATCTCAGTGTCAACAGTCAGGTGTATAATCTTGGCTGTGATTACTGTGGACCATTGGTAGAAATTGCAAGGAAGAAAGATGAAGAAGTTCTGGTGTGTGACAACCTTAACCTTCCCTTCAGGGACCAGTGCTTCAATGCAGTCATTTCCATTGGAGGTAAGAAAACACACATGCATTCTGGCCCACAGGAAATGAGAATTTTTTGGGATCCTTTTCTTTCTATGTGCCTTCAGTTACGTTTGTTTTGAAACAGTTCTCTTAGAATCACAGCAGATATTACTGAAACGAATGTGGTAAACGTGAAAACAAACAAAAAAATTAGTTCCATTGCACAGAGGTGCTATTGATCAGGGAAGTATGTGAATCATTTATTTGTTTATATGTGGTCTTGTTCACTCTGTTGAGAAACGATTTCCTGCCAGCATGCATTTTAAACAAGTAAAAACTAATATAAACATGGCTGGTCAAAGTTTAAACAGATTAGGTGGTCAAGATAAACTCTTGGTTCCTCCTTAGGATCTGTTTTGACCAGAAATGCATTGAAATGAAAACTTGCTTTCTCTATAGCAGAACTTGAAACTCAAGTTAACTATTATGCTATGAATTCAAATTTCTTAGAAGAGTATTGAAGTAAGACTTAGAGCCATACAAGTGCCTGTTGTCTAAAATGAGTGAAGCATCTCAGCATCTTAACTTCTCTGACCTCTGTTTTTGTAAATACTACTTGTAATTTGAGAAGTATAAACTGGGAAAGGTTATATGAGGAATAGAGTACCCAGCTGCAGTCTACTGCATCAGCAGCATCTTACTGTATCAGCAAAAATATAAAGCATTATAATTATTGGTAGCAATAAACAAACTACTTACTTGTAATATGATAGAAACGTATTTTAAAACGTATTTTTCACATATGTACGGTGAAAGCAAGGGTGACTAATGTGCAAGCAGTATCTACATTACTTTGTTTTCATGCCAGTTAACCAGTAAGCCCTATCCACATTTCAGGTTGTCTAGCGTAATTTCAGTGCTATCAGATCATCTGACTTTGAAGGATAGTGTACCTACCTAGTGTTTATACCAGCTATAGGCCTGACAAAATTAGAAATTCGCATGGTATATCTGCACATTAACAGTATGGATTTTAATCCCTCTTGAATAGAGACATGGTATACCTGAGTCCCATTCCAGAGAATAGCAAGCATTTAAGTATATAGTCAAATACTCTTCTTGGCTTTACTGGTATCATCCTGTATAAAGGGTTTGAATTTCTGCAGAACCACCAGATTGTATAATTTTATCCATATTTAACCCTGTAAATTAATTGCATTGAGCTTGTACAGATGCTATTGGTTGACTGGCACTTGCTTTCTGATGAACTAAGCTTACGTGTTTATGCTGTCTGTCAGTTTTGATATTATTTCCCAGCAGGTTCTATGGTGATAAATGGCCTAACTCCAGTATGAGAGAAAATTTCAGTTCTTTTCTCCCCATCTTGTGCAAGAAAATACTAACGAGAGTCATGAGTAACTGGAAATGAACACTAACCATACAGACCGGGGAGCTTTTCTCAGAGTTTGCTGTCTTGTGTTCTCAGCTGCTTGTGAGGGCCTACTTAATGTCAACTGCCAAGAATGTTTTCCTTGGCTTGTAGTAAAAAAAGCTACATTTTTTTCCCCTTGGTAATTTAATCATTGTTTTGAATAAAGACAGGGCTAGTTGGACACACTTTCATAACTGCAGTGTTGAAATAACACTATTTCTACAAGTAGAATTGGCTACTGTCAAGCAGCACCTATAAAGACAATCTATTTTTTCTGATGGTATGGAGATGTCTTCAGCTAAGAACAGATATTATTATTGTATCTTTTTATATGGGTAATTTGGATGTTTTGCATGTAGAAGTGGCTGCCTCCAAGTCCACTTGAAACAAATTATGGTATCAGTCCTCTTTACGCTATTGATTGAATTAAATCTAGTAGTAATCACATATAGAATGACATGAGCAACATGACCAATCCAAGTACAAGTTAATGTTTCTGGGAGAAAATAGCTGTCTTAGCCATTCTCTGGATGTTAAAATAGGATCCTTCAGGTAAATAGGAAGATAGAAACTGTAGAAATACTGAAACGTAGCTTCATTTTACATTGCAGTGAAATTGGAAAATGCGGACATTATCTTGGAAAGAAAATTAAATAGTTCTATTCTGAATTTGATTATTTATTTGTTTATTTATAATAACATAATGCAACAAAAAATCATCATTCTCAAACATGTAATATAGACTGAGATACTTCTCATTTTTTTTCCTCCAAACCAATCTATAAAGGCAATAACTTTTTATAAAATTAAAGCAATGGAAAATATTTCTGCTTCAGTTTTCTCACTAGCTCTTTTGAAAGTGCACTGATATAAACATACAGGGTATCTTTTTAATGATAATACTTTTTGCTGTATTTGTTACATGGTGAAAAGATTTTCTGTTTTCAGTAAGATATGTGTAAAAAGTGCCCCAAAAACTAAAATCAAGCTTAATATTACCTAATTCACCTAAAGGCCAGGCATTTAAGTGAAAGCTAGTCATGCTATGATCTTTTATGGGCAATGTAGAGAAACCAAAACCTCCAGCTTATATGCCTGAGTTTTCTTGAATCCCTATTTTGATATTAGATGAATTTCCTTCTTTGGGATTTTCCTACTTTTATCCATCATACATAAACGTAAAAGAGAGCCTTCTGAGGTAAACTTGTGCTGTGGTACCAATGAATTCAGCACCTTTGCTGACTTGCAGTGAGTGATTTTTGGAATATGGCAACTAAAATGACTGATCACAGAACAGGTTGAAGACAAAAATGCTATGTCCTTACTAATATTCAATACATAATGCCTTTCCTTTTTCACAGTGATCCATCATTTCTCAACTAAACAAAGAAGAATCAAAGCAATAAAGGAAATGGCAAGGGTATTGATACCCGGAGGCCAAATGATGATTTATGTTTGGGCTATGGAACAAAAGAATCGTCGCTTTGAGAAACAAGATGTATTTGTTCCATGGAACAAGGCCTTGTGCTCACGTCATTTTTCAGAATCAAATCAATCTGGAGATAAGGGTGAGTTTGTGCATGCTGTAAAAAGCCAAGATACACATCCTGCACAGCTAGTCATCTCTGATTGCAGCTACCAAACCAATCTCCAGCCAGAAACTGACTCAAAACATTCCCACAATATGGACCATTGCTTGTCCAGAGCCTGCTGCATGAAAATTTCTGAAGGAGAAAACAGATTTTACAGTGCTTTAGGAAGATCTTTCCGCTCATGGTTTTTCTCTACATCCCTTGATGAATCAGCCCTGAGAAAGCAAACCGACAAAATGAAGTCTCTGAAGAATGAAGGAGAATGGGCAAACAGTACTGTACCTGTTCAGCATTCGCGACATTGTAGTTTGGATTTAGGTCACCATGGGGCACTGTTAAAAGAACAAAGTTTAGATGATGATGACGTGTTTGTGGAAAGCCTGTCTCTCAAAAAACCACAGTGGTCACCAGCCACAGATGCACTGAAGGACTTAAGTTTAAATGGAGGACACCAAAGTGTTGCTCAGATCAAGAGTGAAGAAACTTCATGTATAAATGGCCCACTGGAAGACAGGGACTACAGCTGCGGTTGTAATAAGGATGGTGCTGGTAAGTCTAATGCCAGCAAGTTTTTCAAAAGAACTTCAACAACTGACTCCACTGACTCTGCTTTGGATTCAGCAGTGTCTGTTGGGGACCAAACTGATGCCACATTGGATACAAAAGCCTTTATGCGTTATTACCATGTTTTTCGAGAAGGGGAGCTGTGCTCTCTGGTAGAAGAGAATGTGCCTGAGCTTCAGATACTTTCTTCCTGCTATGACCATGGAAACTGGTGCATTATTGCAGAAAAAAGAGGAACATAGCTGTAAAAAGAACAAAGCAGAATCCAGTGACTGAAGAGTTTAAGCTGCTCCTTGTGTTTCTGTGATTGTGCAGTGTGACATGGATTTTTAATCTCATGTAGTTGCCATGTGCCATTCATTTCTGAGTTACTGTCTCTCTACCTATTTAACTATCTAATGCAAGATGCATATAAAGGAATGTAAGTGGTAAACAATATGTTTTGTTAAACTTTTATGAAGTTAAAACTGGAGAGTTTTCTACTGCTTTTCACAAATAATTGTGTTTTTAGATATACTTTTCTATTGAGAAATAAAACCTTTTTATAAGACAAGGATCAGGGCATCTTTTATGAGAAGTATCCTCTCAGTAGAAAGTTTAGGCTTTGTTCTTCAGATGCTGAAAATGTGTCACATTACTCCTTGTTCTTGAAGTCCTGTAAATAGAGACCCAGGTACATTTGAAAACATACTTGACTGTATGCTGCTACAGTGCATGCTGCAGAACTGGGAGCAAGCATGGTCCCAGTGCTACTTAGCTTGGAGTAGAGTTGTTAATGGGAAAAAACAATGTACAAAACAAGCTCTGCACATTCTGTCATCTGGGGTTTGTATATGGGAGCAAATGACAGAACAAATTTTGAACACTATTTTGGACTTTTGTGTTAAAAATAATTTAATTTGTGAGGTGCAGGTTAGGTTTTATGTGTTGGCTCTCACAAACACTTTATCTTAATTTCCTTTGCTGTAGTTTTTCATTGGTTATGTCTATATATAGAAGTCAAGAGGGATTCGTGAGAGTATCAGTATTATGTAAAGGTTACAAAAGATCAAATGTTTGAGATACATATATATATCTTTTTGATAAGCCTGGGAGGCTAAGATAAAATTAATAAAAATCCAGTGCATATCTGGTCAGCTGTCATATTTGCTTTCCTCATTCACTGACATGAGAATGTATATTACATGCTGTGTTAAACAATGTAGATAGGAAGAGGGTACAAGTCCAGTTTGTATACAAAATGGAAATTCCTGTCTTCTGCAGTTTGAATTAATCTTTTGGGACCTAGATGATAATAGATGGCTTAAAAACTTTCCCTATAAGACACGAATTTTGCTGAAAATGGTGCCTCATCACCATCCACTTTTACAGGATTACAACAGTTGCCCTCACAGAGTTCTTTACACTCAAATAATCTCACCCCTTTCAGTGGAGGCTTGGGATGTGAAGTTACACGTGCTGTTGATAAAGTGCACCTGGCTTCTGAAGATTAGTAGTGAAGCTGTAATTGATACCAACAGAAGCAGGGCTAGAACAGGGTAATTGCCTTGTTAGCATAGAGTTACTTCATTTCTAGGCTTTATTTACAGTTAGTCGGTGTAGTGTAGGGCACATCTTCAGTTGATGTGATTTCATGAGCTTTAATGGAGCTGCACAGATTCACCTCAGAGATCAACCCTTTTGCTACAGCACTTTTAGAGACCCACATGATGTCTGCCCTATTACTGAGCAAATAACTGAAAACAAAGCAACAGGAGTGGAATACCAAACTTTTCCAGTTTATGCTGTGCAAGTATATGGATTTGGGGTTGTTCAGCAGAAAGCCCTGATGATGTTGAGTATTTTTAGATGTAGTTGCCCAGGAGTAATTGCCACATGGTAATATATATTATAGATTTATTTACTGGAGTGATGCCTGTAGAACAATAATTTTTGTCTTCCTCATAGTTTGGGATCCTGGTACTTTATCCTTGCTGGGTCTATACCACTTGCATTTTCCACTGCCTTTTGCAAATAAAAGTGTGGTCAAAGAACCATTCATCCGAGACTTCTGAAATATTCAGCTCTAAATATAAATTTCAATTCAGCCTGGAGCTGTGGTTCTCAGACGATGTGTCTGAGCCATACTTTAGAAAACTGGCAATATTCCCTGCCTAGCTGGGTCCAGCTGCTCATGGCTGAGGGGGCTGCTCCTGCTGCATCCTAAAGCTCCAGTTTCAGAAGCAGAGTGCAAAAATACCCATGCTGGCATATTGCAGAGTCGGTGTGGATCATGCTGAGCTCCACACCTCATCTGCAACGTGCTCGTGTTGGACAGGTGAGGCCTGCCTCGCTTTTTGAGGATTACTGGAGGAGCTTGAGGATTTTAGAAGAAAACTTAGTTGCTTCCAGATAAGATACGCCAGTGGAATTGGCATATTGGCCAATTGGCCATATATTGTATTGGCCAGTTGGCTATACAGCTGCTGGAATTTGGGCTGTATTTCAGAAAGTTGTAGTTGATTATCATCCTATATCCGATATTGAAAGTTCATCCCTAAACTCCAGGATGCGGAAACTGTATTACACATCTCTAAAAGTATTTATAAAATGTTACTTATTTAAACTGTCATCTGGGTTCAGTTAAGTGGGAAAAGGAACACCATTCTATGATTCTATAATTTTGTTACCTGTACTTCTATAGTCTGTGGAATATTTAGTATGCAGTCAAGGAAGCTGATGAAATTTGGGGTAAACCAAGAAAGGAAAGGTGTCCATGTTCTTTACAATAGAGGCTGAATCTGTGTTTCAGGCTTCAGTGAAAACTTCCTGCTCCGTCAGCTGTATGAATAACAGGTGTCACCCCAAAGCCACTGACATACCTTAAACAGCTTTTTTGCTTGTAGACTTTCAATGCAATTTTTGGTTTGAGGTTCTTGACTGGGGATGCTTTCCACGATTATTCATTTCTGTATTGGATTTTCTTGTGTTTTGAGATGATGCCATTAAGTCATGTTCCATAGAAGTTTGGATTGTGTTGTTATAAATTTCTTGGTGAAGGAGAGGGGAGGTTTGGTAAACTGTTTTTTTCTCCCTCAAATATTCAGTTTTCCTCTTAAGATGTATAACCACTGTGTAACTTAATTTTTATAGACTGGGTATCAGTCAGCTGTGGTCACAAATGTGAGGTCTGCACAGCAAGGTTTTATTCCCATACACAGTCTCCCATCTATTTATGGAGGCTGTGTAGGTCTGTAAGAGCTTTATCATCTAATAAGAAGCCAGCTTACCTCACTGAGAGCATGGTGAATGTCTGTCTCTCTTGATTGGTTGCAATTTGATGAGGCCCATTTTAAGCAAAATGTAATTTCCAGAAGAATCCATGTGATCCCAGTCTTTAATAGCTTATAGACATAGTTAATGTGCACAGAGAAGTGTGCATATCATTGAAAAGTTTATAGTAAATGAATGAATGAACAAAGAAATAAAACTCAGTTGTCCTTGCATGCTCAAACTCTCAGCACTGTCCAGACTGCAAGATCTGACTGCTAGAAGGTAAAAGGCAAATGCGCTCTTGTATTTCTTGTCTGACAAGTGGGCAATCTTCTCACTTCAGGTATGCTGATAACAAACCTACTTCTGACTGCAGTGGGCTAGGACTGCTCTAAGCTGCTCATCTAGGTTTAAGTGGCACAAAGAGAAATCTTGGTTACACAAGAAAAAGATGTCCTGTTTTTTTACAATTTAATTTATTAGTATCATTGTCAGTCTGAACTGGCAAAAAGAAAGCTGTTACCGTATTGCTCTCACAGACTGTAATCCAAATGAACAATTGCAATAAAAAAGATACAACTGAACAGAGTTATTCTTGAAGGACCAACTCAATTGCAGTCTTTGATAAATGAGATTTTGTCTTTTTTTTTTTTTGCTTTTTTAATACATGAAAATATTTATATTAGAAGTGCAGAAGTATCATTTTTTGCTTTCTTCCCAGCGTATGGTGTAGGAATTTTAAAAGCACAGGTGAGCAATGAAAGCTATAAATGTTCTAGCAGATTTTTTCTTTTCTGGTACATATCTGTATACAACTTATGTGTAGAGTTTAAAATGCTGAGAGAAAAGCTGTATGTGGTCTACCGGCAGAATACTGTTAGTGAACCACCTGGGTAGATTCTGAATAGAAATGATGGCTCTGATCCTGTGTCCTCTTTACTGTGTCATGTCTCTGTCAGACTGAATTTATATTGCTATATTATTATTGACACTGTGTTGAATCTACTGGTCTACCCATGTTCTTTCTCAGCACTTTGTCAGGATTTGTGTCTACTTCAGTGCACCAGGAAAATCAAGTACATCAGTGTTAAATATATACAATTGTATATTTCTTTAGTGAGTTCTGTGTTTCTTACTTTTACAGTATATGAATTCTGGCAGCTACCTGTGATTTTATCTTCCAATCTGCTGGTCAAAACCATACTTGGGTACTTCTCTGTAATCAATTTTTTGTCCATACATGGAACCTATTCTTTAGTATCCAACAGAAAAAAGTCCTACTTGGACTAAAATACTGTTTCCTACAGAATTTCTGTGCTTTCAGATTAGTTAATAAATATATTAGCCACTGGAAACTCTGTGTCTTGGGAATTTCTTAATGACTATTAAACCTGAGAAGACTCTGTTAGTGCTATTTGCTCAGTAACTTAGACCACACGCAGAGCAGGTAAGCACAGTGATTTACCATGAAGCCAGGGAATATGTCTTCACTTTAGACAACCATAGTTAACCCAGCCATAAATGTGATTATTTGAATTATGTAAATAAAGGTGATGAAATGTAGTTTTTAATCGTGTTAGTACTTTGTGTCCTGTTGATGACAGAAAAGCAGGATGGTCAGCAGAATAAATTGCTACAAAGCTACATTTCCTGCTCCTTCTGATATATTTGCAGTTATTCATGATTATGCTTTGTGGTGTAAGGTAACATTGAAGCACTTTTTGGGGATTATCAACGTTCTTTTTGTGCCAATTTAAATCAGAAAAGAAAAAACAAAGTAATTAGAATTCTGCAATTGTCTGGCGAGGTTATATCTATACTGTGCTAAAAGTATTTTTACAATTGCAGTGGTTATTGTGGTTGTACAATTACAGTGATGACTTATTGTAGTGATATGCTTCTTGGAGTAATGACTAAGGGCCTAGTAGTAATTAAGCACTATCAAGATGGACTCTTCATTAGGGACTCTAGTGGTAGGACAAGGGGTAAT